AGTATATTCATCGCCAATTCATGGATGCAAGAGTGTGTAACTGTCCTTACTTATAGAGATACTGTATGTTACTTATTGTTGATTAAGTTATAATTGAATTCTTATGATGCATAGTATGGATGAATAGAAACAGGCACATAGGAAGGAGCAAATTTCTGTATTATATCGGGGCATATGTAGGTGCAACCCAATTATTGCTTACTCCTACTAAATTACTTCGTGAGGAATCTTTAATTTCATGAAGTGTTATAGTAATAACTATTGAATTATTAGATCTAATTGCAAAACCATCTATACAATTTTTGGGAAATTATAGCTAAGGAAATAGTCGCAAAGGAGAAAGAAGAAAAGAAAAGAGGAGTAGCCGAACTCCATTAAATAATTTAGATAAGAATTATGTCGAAGTATGTGTGCCTTTATTTAGCTTTTAATTTTTTTCCTAAACAATTCATGAAGAATATTTTTTTCTAACACAACAGGAAATAAAGATAACATAAAATAAAGTATAATAGAATAAAATGGAGTAAAGTACAATAAAACAAAAAAAAATACAACAGAATAAAGTAGGAAAAAAAAATAAGGTAAAATGAAATAACTTAATAACTAAATAAATAAAATAAAATGAATATGTCATCACGATCTATTATAACTCTGGTGGCTCCACTATCTGTTGAAACCTGGCATTACGCGGATAAGAATGTAGGGCCCTGCAAAGCTGACGAATAACACATGTTACTATGCAGGCGGAATAGTCTACGCATTGGAAAATACTCCCGCCCCTTCCTATAATTATGCATCTCTGTATACATGGAGCCGCTTTCATTCCGTTCATTTAGTTAATTCCGCGCATTTCGTTTATTCTCTTCATTTCATTCATTTTGTTCATTTCGTTCATTCCCCCAATTTCCTTCATTCGATTCTTTCCTTTCGTCACCCTATGGGGGCCGCCCCTGGCCTCCCACATCGCCACGTCCCAGCCAGGAGAATGCTAAGATCAGAGTTAGATTTCTTGGGGAAACCCATATACCAACCCCTGATTGAACAAATTCCGATAGACTTGGCAGGAGATAAGCTCTTCACCCACGTCAAAAATTGGTATGACGAATACAACATAGCAGAAGGCTGTCTCGTCGTCAATATTGGCAACATCAAAAAAAGTATGAACTTATTTGCTAACGAATATAAAGAATTCACCACGGATAATTTTAAAGGCATAAAGAATAAAAAGGAGTTTAAAGGAATATTTTACTCCTTCGGTGAAGGAGAGGACTACGATAACCATGATGGGATGTATCACAGGAAGGACAGTGACCATGAGAGTCGTGACGATGAGGATCATAACAATGAGAATGAAGACGATGAGGAACATAAAGATGAAAACCATGAGGATGAACACAATCGGGATGAAGACGACAAATGTTATCAGAGAAGGAGTTATTACCCTTCTGCACCACACGCCAATGAGGGAAGGCAAGAATTTGCCTACTACCACCACGAGGAACAATCCCAAACCTATTAAAACCCGGAGAAATCCGAACAGAGATTTCCAGAAACAGCAGGAAAACGTGTAAAATACAATTTCAGAAATGCGATGAAGGAAGCAAGCAACACTGAAAGCAGCCAAGAAGATATGCACACTGAACCATCCCCTAAGAGGTCGCAGACGCAAAGAGATTACCAGAATCGTAAAATGTCAGGGGTCCGACAGAGGGAGGAATCATCCGGAGAGACAGGGAGTGACTGTGGCGAGAGAAACGAATCATCCAATTTGATAAACAACTTTCTAGAAGACATCGACAAAGGAATCAGGAATCAACCATTTCGCTCCCTTCTTCCTCACGAAAAGGGCAATAGTAAATCTTCTAAAAAGGAGGAATCCTCATGTGAAAGATTAGGAATCGCTACTTCCATATTAAAGTGTTTCACTCCACTTTTGGGAATGCTTCTATACGGGAAAGTAGTAATGGCTGTAGGTTCTTCGATGGCTTATTTGTTTTTTCTCGTTTCGTCCACTATCTTAATCAGCTACCTTGGACGTAAGTTACGCAAAATTAACAAGTCGATTAAAAACAAATATAGAGATGAAGATAGAAACAGAGATGGAGAACGCGCCAGGAGACCACTCCAAAATGGTGCCGAAGTGAGGCAATCCATAATTAGGGATTGTGTCCTTGTGATGCGAACTCGGCAGAATGATGGTGTCCCTGAGATCACACCAATACGGGGCAGACAAGGGTATTCATCCACCGCAGAACATAATCATGGAAGAATATACAGAACGTTTCATGAACAATGTGTGTAGGAAAATTTCTCCAATGAGAAGTCGCTATATGAACACTACAGTATTTTGGGGGAGAAATTTACAGAGACTTTCCCCCTCACGCCATAGGACTGCCACATTTTTTTGTCATAAATGGTTAATAAATCCCGGAAGCATAGTGTTTCCCATGACTTAATCGTATTATCGATATCCTCCTGTCATGAAGAAATAGGAAGATAAATAAATACAGGCTTGCATGGAGTCTCTTTTTTTGTATTCGTGTTTATATATATATTATAACCATAAGCT